TGTGTTTTTCACAGTAAGTATATGTATTCTTTTCTATTTATTCATAGAAAACAGATAATTATTTTTTATTGATAGTTTTTTTTTGTTTTAGTAAGTGATAGAAGAAAAAAACAGATAAAGAAATTTTGCAGTGCCTGATACTTAAATTCATTAAATTTCATATACTTAAGGTTTTAAAACATTTTTTCTCTCTAGTAGTATTTACGTGGCTGAAATGTTCATCTCCTTCACTTATCCTCTGCTTTCCAAAACTGCTATGGAGTCATGCCCTGATATATTTTAATATATTAACAATAGAAGAACATCATGTTTATTAAATTGCCCATACTTTATTCAAACGATTATCTTGAAGCCACTTATATGAGTTCCTTCGAAGAACACATCATCAATATTTTGAAAATGACATTTTTATATTCTTATCACTCCTGTTGGGACATCAAATAAAACTGTATTCGTGTCAGTTGCTGAATTGTGTCACACACTGAAACAACTGTGCTCAGTTTGTTTTGGCTAGTCCAGTTACATGACCTCATCATATCTGAACCTTCTCAAATCTGTTTCTTCTTCAGCCTCTTTGATAATCTTTGCCTGTCAGGTTAGGCAGTTTCAGTACAGGAAAGAATTTCCCGGTATTCTTTAAACACCTGAGTGATTTACTGAATTTCTATTTAATTTTGTAGCTTCTGAGATATTGCACACGTTCTGTCTACAACATTCAGTCTGTTGCATTTGGAACATGCAGACAGTCAAACGTATAGTAAAAACATAATGATATATTTCCCATTTGTGTGATAGGTTTTTGAATTTCAATTGACTCCAGAGGAAATGAAAGTCCTCGAGGGCCTGAACAGAAATATCTGATATTTGACTCCAGATGTAAGTGACTTCAGTAAACATGTTTTAATCAATTTGTTTTCTGATTGAATATAACATATTTGTTAAAAGTTACCCCAGTTAAAAGAAAAAGCACAGAGGCCATTTTGAATCAAGACTGAGACAAAAGCTTTCCTGAACTCTCTTTAGTCTCCTCAGAGTTCTGTCCTTTGTCACTGCAGCAGGGTGAGTGACCCAGGCTCAGCTGGATCTAGATCTGCTGCACCTACTGCTCTGCCCCTTTGGTATGGAGTGTTCTGGGTCAGTCAGCATCACTGCTGAATTTCATCCCTGTGTTGGCTCTGAATCTTTATGTCCTGTGGGAAAACACTCCAGGCATTCCAGCAAGCCTGTTGAAGCATTATCAAAATCAGTTTCCTTGGTTGGGGTGGTGGTGGTGTATTCCTGTAATCCTAGTACTTTGGAGGCAGAAACAGGCAGATTTCTGTGAGATCAAAGCCAGCCTGTCTACATAGAGAGTTCTAGACTAGGTGAGGCTACAGGGAGACACTGTCACCAAACCAAACCAAACCAAACCAAACAAAATTCTGCTATTTTCTCCAAACTGCTTAATTCCTGCTGGCATTAAATTCATGAACATCAACTTCGCAGTCTCGGTTATTTCCTCCTGATGAAATTGCTCAATGAATTTTGTCATTTTAATGTTTTTAACAGTTTGAAAGACTTCACTTCCTTTATACTGCACCTGATCATTAATTTTCAGGACCTGATCATTAATTTTGTGTGGATAATCCAACAGTTTACTTGGTATTGATTTTCTGAAATATGGGAATCTCAGCTCAGGGGATTAAGAAGTTTTCAAGTCTAAAGTTTTAACTTGAGAGAATAGTGTAGAGAAAACATCCCTGTGTTGTAGAGGAGTTATAGCCAACAGAAATCTTTCTCTTCCTTCAGGCCGTTCAAGTCTTAAAGAGGGCTTTGGATTCACGTGGAACTGGAGTTAAGGACGGTTTATAGCCGTCATGTGGGTGCTGGGAATCGAACCCGGGTCCTCTGAAAGAGCAGTCAGTGCTCTTAACCTCTGAGCCATCTCTCCAGCCCCAGAAAGTGTTTTATTATCGAAGGAAGAAAAAGAATATATATATCCTCTTCCACTGGGAAGTTTATTTCTAAAAGAACAGTAATATAATTTATAAGAATTGATGAATGTGATGTACAATTGCATATAGTGAAAAATTGTCATTTTTAATGAACAATGATATTTTAGTATTATATGGAAAACTGAGGAAAAATAGGCACTTATTCCAAAGACACAGAGCCCCAAGCAATCAGTTAATATTTTTCCTCTTTAAAATTAATGATTAATCAGTTTTATCCCTATGTGGCCTGTGTGACTGTTACTGTAGGAAATCTCTAGTTATCTACTTCAATATTATGTTTCATTTTATGTACAATATTATTTCAAGTAATTCTTATATTTGTTTTGTGTTTATGTGTGTGTATGACTCAAGTAAGTCTGTGTGTCTTCTTGTGTGTGAATGCAGATGCATGTACATATGTGTGCTGGGATCATAGGGCAACCTTGAGTATGGTCCTTATCTCCCTTCAACTTGTTTGAGAGAGAGTCTCTTGTCATTTTCCTATGTGTCAAGATGACCTTGACTTTCCAGCAGTTCTCCTGTCTCCACCTCACATCTTGGCACAGGAGCACTGTTGTTAAAAGTGTATGCTGCTCAGTCCAGCTTTACAAGGGTTCTGTGGACCAGAACTCAGGCCACGTCCTTGTCCAACAAGTACTGTTTACACTAATCCATCTGTCTAGTCCATTCTTTCCATTTCTGAATCAAAGTTAATACATTGCTGTGTTGAGCAGTTAGTAAACAAATAAGAAAACTGAAGTGAGATGGATACAGCAGTCTGTTACTCTGAAAAGTACTTCTTAATGCAGATAGTAGTTGGACTTGTTCTTTTCAAAAGAAAGTGATCAGTTTCTGCTTTCATTGAGGATTTTAATATAAAGGACTAGCTATCATGTTGATTTCTTGATAGATATAGGTCTGGCCGTTTGACCTATAATTATGTGTGTTAATTCCCATGGAAAGTAGCGTGATATGAGTAATTTATTTATTATTTGTGTGTTTATAAAGTAATTCTTATGGAAATTCCCAAGGCAGGATACACAAATTACCAGAAAAGAAAACTCTGTACGTTTACTCTACTGGAAGCATCATAGAAGTCATTCTTGCTAAATGCAGAAACCTCAAATTCATTGTGCATTTTCTTTGTTTTGCTAGTTTTGCTTGCCGCCCTAACTATCCATTTTCTGATGAATACTAGCACAGAGACCTGGGCTCTGGCCCTGCCTTCTACTGGAAGATCCTGAAGGTGGAGTTGCCCTGGGAGCGTCCTCAGCCTCTGCTGAATGCACCTGAGCAACTCAGGCTTGGCGGAAGCTGCAGCCACAGCTCAGAAAGTAAAGCACGACATATCTGTCATTTTCTGAAAAGAAATAAAAGGATTCTCTGTTTCAATATTTATCTATGCCAGTCTGTGTTATGTGAATATTTTGTTTTCTCCTGACCCTTTAGGACCCCAACAAGTTTACCAAGAAATCTTCATGCAAGGGACGATAATGACAGCAGCCATTTTGCAAACATGTCTGATTGGTAGTAAATAGATTTTTGATCCTCTGCAATTTGCAAATATTTATTCATCTATGTTTCTCCTGTCTTTCAAGGTATAAGAAAGCACATTACATGGGGTCTGGGAGGTGAGGCACACACAGGAAGAGTGGCCTACAGTCCCAGTGTTCTAGCAGCCTAGATTCAGATGTCTCCTTAGGGAAGTGCGACAGGAAAAAGAGGGGAAAGGAGCATACAGGAAGGAGGACTCATATGGGGAGATCAAGGTGAGGCACAACAGGCATGTCTTTGCTTGGAAAGCACTGATAGGTACCCCTTCCGAAGTATATCCTGCTGATTAGAGGAGGCTTTGCACATCGTATACCTAGAGCCAGTGTTATGTGCCAAATCTGGGGCAGCAGGGTGTGTCCAGATGCAGCAGTGTGTTTGCTCAGTAGGGACTTCAAATGTATTTAATCTTTTAAATATCACTTTTCATTTTTTATTTTTGTTGCAGAGGGCCAGGGTTTCACTGTATAGCCCCAGTTAGTTTGGAACTCACTATGTAGAACAGACTGGTCTTGATCTCATAATGACCCGCCTGCCCCTGCCTCCTGAGTGCTGGGATTAAAGGCATGCACTACTATACCTGACTAATCTTTCTAATCTCTTTTAAGAATGCATTTTTTCTTTACTTTAGTAAATATATTATGGATTTGAAAATATTAAACAGTGTTATTTGATCATATTCAGATCCCTTCCCTCATCTCCACCCCACCTTATCACAGCACCCTCCCTGAATTTATTTCCTTTAGTTATTTGTGTATTTTAAAGGCCTATAGTGTCTAATCTGTGTTCCTCAAATGCTTTTGGGTGTGAGTGCATCCTTGTAATCTGATCAACCTGATCAAACAGCTGTCACACCAGTAAAAAAAATTGACACTCCCTATTCTATCAGCTCTTATGGCTTGTGTCCATCTCCCCTCCTCATGCTGATTATTTTTTCTGGCTTGGGTTGCATGCTGTCGCAAGTGTCGTGGGCTCATACGTACAACTGGTAGCTGATCATTCTGGAAACATGCCTTTAATCAGAGCACTGGGGAGACAGAAGCAAGTGGATTTCTATGAGATTTAGACCAGCCAGGTCCACAAAGCCAGTTCCAGGTCAGCTGGAGCTGCAGGGAGATCCTGTCTCAAAAAACAAAAACGGACAAACAAACAAACAAACAAAATATGTGCAACTACCCGTGGTGTCCAGACAACAAGGTTTCCTTGTATTCGTCTGTCAGTTCTGGCTCTTTCCACCTCTCTTTCCACAGTGATCCCAGAGCCTTGGGAGGATAGAGTGAGATGGGTGTCCCATTTAGAGCTGAGTACTCCAGTCTCATATTCTCTGCACATTGACCATTTATGTGTCTCTGTGTTAATCACTGTCTGAGGAAAGAAGAAACTTCTCTTCTGAGAGTTGAGAGATGCACTAATCAGTGGGAATAACAATGTCATTAAGAGTCAGTTTAGTACTGTGTCTGCTTAGCAGTACGATAGTAGTAGGTTCTTGATATGACCTGGGACCTGTCTGTCCACAGATTCTTTGCCCTGATAACATTGTCACATATGGACTCCGTCTTGAGAAATGGGCCTCAGAAGATGTTCATTTATTCCCTTAACATTCCTGCCACTGTGTACCAGTGGTCATATTTTATCAGGCCAATCAATATTGTAGCTCACAGGGTTCACAGCAAGATAAAGTTGATGATTACCTTCTCTGCAAGTAACCGGCATAGCCTCTTCTTACAACCAATTGATTTCTCTTTTTTTTTCATTTTTAATAGAAAATTTTTATTTTATTTTTGAAACTTTTTATATATAATATTGAGTTTTTATGCAATTCACACAATACGTTTTAATCATATACAGATCCCGCTCACCCATCTGCAACACCCAAAGACTCCTCATCAGATTTCATGCATTCTGTCAAGCTGGTGTTTCCAGATATGCCTCTGTGTGAGTTCATCCACTGGGGTCTGGTTAGCCTAACTAACATCACTCACTTAAAGAAGACCAACTCTCCCCGACTCAACAGTGATCGACTGCCAGTAGATCCTCACCTAAGATTAGGGCTTCTTACCCAGTTCCCCATTACTATGCTGGGTTTTTTACAACAACAAAAAAAAACTTTTGACAAAGGGGCCAAACAAAATACATTGGAGAAAATACTGTAGGTTCAACAACTGAGACTGGACAACCTGGATGGCTACGTGTAGGAGAATGTAAATAGATCTCTGTCTCTAACTCTGACGAAAAGTCAACTCCAAATAGATCAAGCATCTCAATACAAACCTCATACCTTGAATCTTATAGAAGAGAAAGTAGGGAATACACTAGAACTTAGAGGCACGGGAAATGATTTCCTGAACAGGACCCCAATAGCACAAGCATTTAGACAAACAATTGACAAATGGTCATCATGATGCTAAAAGACATACGTGCATCAAAGGATACCGTGATTCAAGGGACTAGGCAACCGAAAGAATGGGAAAATAAATCTTTGCCAGGTATTTCTCTGACAGAGGGTTAACATCTAAAATATACAAAGAACAAAAATAAACAAATAAATAAGCATAAAATCCTAATGCTATTAAAAATTTGGGAAAGGCATAAACAGAGTTCTCAAAAGACGAAAATGGCTGCGAAGCATTTTAAATAGTGTTCAACATCTTTGGTCATCAGGGGAATGGCAATGAATAATGCTTTGAGATTTCATTTTACCCCAATCAGAAAGACTAAGAACAAAAAACCCAAAACACCAAACAATGAAAGATGACAAATACTGGCAAGGGCATTCATATTCATTACTGGGGGGAGTGCAAACTGGTGCTACCACCATGGAAATCAGTATGAGGAAGTTCCTCAAAATGCTGAAACTAGATCTCCTACAAGATCCAGTCACACCATTCCCGAGCATATACCCAAAGGGCACGGCGCTATATCCAAATACAGAGGTACCTGTCCTTCCATGTTCATTTCTGCTTTATTCACAATAGCCAGGAAATGAAAAAATACCTAGATGTCCATCAACTGATTAATGGATAAAGAAAGTATGGTGCATTTACATAATTGTGCATTATTCAGCCATTAAGAAAATGAAATTATGGGCTGGAGGGATGGTTCAGTGGTTAAGAGCACTGACTGCTCTTGCAGAGTATGCGGGGTTCGATTCCCAGCACCCACATGGCGGCTACGAACCATCCTTAACTCCAGTTCCAGGGGAATCCGAAGCCCTCTTCTGACCTCTGCAGCATTTCACGACACAGGTGCACTCACATATGTGCAGGCAATACACTCATACACATAAAATAAAAATAATAAAATATTTTAAAAAAGAAAATGAAATTATGAAATTCACAGGTAAATGGATGATATTGGAAATCATCATCCTACATGAGGTAACCCAGACCCACAAACATCATGTTTTCTCTCTCATAAATGGATGCTAGGTTACAATCTTCAGACAGATGTGTTTCAACTGGAAAATCCTAAGAGATCAGGAAACTAATAAGGTATCATGGGGTGGTTATTGGAAAGGGAAGAATGCAGTGATATTAGTAGGAAAGGGAACAATGGATAGCACTGGTTTAATGGAATGAATGGGGTGGGCTGAAGAAGGAGTAAGAGTTTGGAAACTAACCACCAAATGCATTTTGAAAGAGTCATATGAAACCCACTATGAAAGCCTTTCTCAGTACATACATATACAATATAAAAAGCGTTTAAATGGTTTTTGATAGGCTAACCAGGATTCAGTGGACACCAAAGGACATCAGTTTATATGACCAAAGGCAGGTTTCTAAAGCCCTGAAGATAACTGGACAGTATGAAGATAAGAAAAAGATGCAAAATCTCAGGGAAGTATATCTTTTAACTAATTCAGCATTGTTCACAAGAGTGGGTCAAACATTAATAATACTGTCCATGTTAGACTTCCAGTTATTGGTCTGACAAGTTAAGAACTGGGCAGTTTTTACTTCCAACCTCATGGTGAAGAAGACACTGAACAAAACTAAAATAATGAAGCCCTTCAAAGTCATCAGAAAACAGAGATCTCAGATCAAATATTGAACTTCAAATCAAGGAGACAGGAAAAGATCTATTTTGACGTAAATCTAAAAGTGCTGTTTTCTGTATTCAAACATCACTCTCAAGGAAAACAAATTCAGCAGAGCCATATCAACCTAGACGTCTTAAGCCCAATCTATAGGCCGAATGGAAAGACACGTATAAAGACTTAGACCTAAGGAGATAAACACAAAACACATCGTCACTCCTGTTCTCCTTCATTTAGGCCTAATTTGTCATGTATTACTCTTAAGATTAAGCACAAGACCTATAAAATGCAAAAATTATAGTTTGAAATGTTAACTGAATCACCCAAGCTAGACATATGTTAGAAAGATCTGAGGAAATCCTCTGAATGAGGTGTGTGATGGCTAATCCTGGGTGTCAGTTTGACTGGATCTGGGATTAACTGAAATGAGAGAGATCTTCTTAACTGGATTATCTGAAGCTGGAAGACACACCCTAAATGTGGGTGCTACCTTCTCATGGCAGCCCATATAAAAGGCCAAGGCAGAGGAGATGCCTGGCCTCTTGCTGCTTGCCTTCTCTCACTGTCTTGCTGCTATAGACTGAAAGCTAGCCGATCTTTTGGAATTTGTCAGACCTTCAGTGCCAGATCGGGACTACTGAGACATCCAGCCTTGTGAACTGAACCACTACGGATTCTCAGCCTCTCCAGTGTGGTGCAGCCATTGTTGGACTACTTGGACTCTATCCTGTGAGGTAAACTGATAAATCTCTATACATAATGTATTCATTCTACCGGTTCTGTTTCTTTAAAGAACCCTGACTAATACAAG